ATGAAGAAAGACTGAAAGTTTTTCTCCTAGAATGAGGAAAGAGATAAGCATGGCTCCTCTTATCACTTCTATTCAATATCATACTGGAGTTTATGCCTAGAGAAATTAGCCAAGAAAATGAAATAAAAGTACCCACATTGGAAAGAAAAAAATAAAACTCTATTTATAGAAGATATAATCTTTTATAAAGAAACTTCCAAGGAACTCAATAAAAATGATTAGAACTAATAAACAAGTACAGCAAAGTTGCAAGATACAAGATCAGAAATCAATTGTATTTTTACACACTTGTAATGAATAATTTGAAAATAAAATTACAAAAACAATTCCATTTACAATAGCATTAAAAAGATTAAAACACCTAGGAATAAGTTTAACAAAAGCAGTTCAAGACTTGTACTCTAAAAAACTACAAAAACTGTTGAAAGGATCTAAAGATCTGAATAAATGTAAAGACATCCCATGTTCATGGCTCACAAGACCTAATATTGTTAAATGGTAATACTCCACAAATTGATCTACTGATTCAGAACAATCTCTATCAAAATCCTAACTTGATATTTTTGCAGAAAATACAAGCTGATCCTAAAAGTTATTGAAAAAGAACAACAAATTTTAAGAACTCACACTTCTAATTTCAATACTTACTACACAGCTACAGTAATTAAGACTGGGTAGTACTGGCATGAGGACAGAAATAGAGATCAAAGCAAGAGAACCAGAGCTTAGAATTTATGGTCAGTTACTCTTATATTTACAACTGATTTCTAACAAAAATGACACAAAAATTAAATAAGGAAAAATAGTCTTTTCAACAAATGGTGGTATAACTGGATATCCACATTCAAAAGAATGAAGTTGGACACGCTACCTCACACATTATGCAAAACTCAACTCAAAACAGATGATACACCTAAATGTAAAAACTAAACCTTTCAATCTCTTAGGAAAGAAAAAGAAATAACTTTGTGACCTAGTTTTCTTACATAGGATACCAAAAGCACAAGCAACAGAAGAAAAATAAATTGGAATACATCACGGTGAAAAACTTTGTGCTGCAACTGATACCATCAAGAAAGTGAGAAGACAACCCACAGAGAAGAAAAAATATTTGCCAATGTTTTATCTAAGAGACTTGTATCCAGAATACATAAACAATTCTTATAACTCAACAGTAAGAAGACAAATAACACAAAATATGGGCAAAGGATTTGAATAGACATTTCTGCAAGAAGATATACAAATGGCCAACAGGTATATGAAAGTATGTTCAACATCGTTAGTTGGTAGGGAAATGCAATTCAAAACTACAAATGAGCTACCACTTCATACACACTAGGATAGCTAGAAAGAAGACAGATAATAACAAGTGTTGGCAAGGATGTGGAGAAACCAGAACCCCTGTATGTTGTTGGTGGGAATGTAGTGATATAGTCACTTTGGAAAACAGTTTGTTAGTTCCACAAAAAGCTAAATGTAGAACTAGCATATAACCCAGCAATTTTACTCCTAGAAATATGCTTAAGGGTAATGTTACTATTTGTCCACACAAAAACTTGTACACAAATACAAATAAACATTCTGTACAAATGTTTGTTATTCATAATAGCCCCAAATGGAAATAATCCAAATGTCCATCAACTAGTGAATGGAGAAATAAAATGTGTATATCCATAAAACAGAATATTACTCAGCAATGACACATGCTATAACGTGGATGACCCTTGACAACATTATGCTAGGGGAAAACATTACGCCAGTCACAAAAGAACCACATATTATATGATTCCATTTCCATGAAATGTCTAGAATAGGCAAATAAATAGAAATAGAGAGTAAATTAGTAGTTTCCTAGGGCTGGGAGATATGGAGGAGTGGGGGAATGGCAGATGAAGGGTAAACAGTGTCTTTTGGGGGCAATGGAAATGTATTTAAATTAATTGTGGCAGTGATCGCACAACCCTGTGAATATACTGAAGTTACTGAACTATATATGTTAAATGGATGAATTGTAGGGTATGTGAATCATATCTCAATAAAGCTGTTAATAAAAAGAATCCTTAAATTGACCCTTCCTCACTCCTAATGCATGAATCTCCTGTTGTGATGACAAGTTAGCTTATATCCCAAACACTTTTAGCAACTGGCAGCTCACTGTTTTGTGAATCTGTTTTATGGACAGCATATCAGTTACAAAGGTCTTTTTCATGTTGATCTGAAATCTGCCTCTTGTTTCATCCACCCATTGTCTTTTAAAATAACCTCCAGAGTCATCTGAATTCACCTCAGTCAGAGGAAGGGCAGCACAAAGCCCAAATCTAGTGCTCAGACATGTATTTGTCTAACAGTGTTTTAAGTAGAGATTTTAAGATAAAAATTATTGGAAGATTAGAAATCTGTACATTTTGAACTTGAATTTCCAAACTGCAATAATCAGATGGAGCCGAGAGGTATCTGCCCACCTTCAGATGGAACTTATTCTATCTAGTAAGCCACCATCCTCACCACTCCACATTGGATTTTGAAAATATGCATGGGGTGAGTGCTACAGCTATTGCCACTGATTTGAAAGGTTTCAATTTGGGAAAAAGGTTTTGAGTAGGAACTGCAAATACAGGTGCTGCCAAGAAACCAGGCATGGCTTATAAATGAGTGTAGCAGGTGTGCCTAATAGGGAGTGGTGGGGACTGTGGCTCACTAGACAGTACATAAAGGGGGAGACACAACTCAGATTAATAAACTACTTGCTTTGATATGAAATCTCAGGACTGACTAAGACAGTTTTACCACTAAAAGTAACCAGGGGCTTCCCTGATGGCACAGTGGTTAAGAATCTGCCTGCCAATGCAGGGGACATGGGTTCAATCCCTGGGCTGGGAAGACCCCACATGCTGTGGAGCAACTAAGCCCGTGCACCACAACTACTGAGCCTGTGCTCTAGAGTCCACGAGCCACAACTACTGAGCCCATGTGCCACAACTACTGAAGCCTGTGCACCTAGAGTCCATGCTCCACAACAAGAGAAGCCACCACAATGAGAAGCCCGTGCACCGCAACAAAGAGTAGCCACTGCTCGCTGCAACTAGAGAAAGCCTGCACATAGCAACAAAGACCCAATGCAACCAAAAATAAATAAATTAATTTTTAAAAAAACCTGATGAATCTCCAACATAAAGAGTTTAATTATTAAAAAGAAAAAGTAACCAGAGTACTTTTTACAAATTACCAAGACCAGAAAAGTAATTCAAGAGGGAGAAAAAAACTAGGTCCACAACCTGGCTTCAAAAAAGTAGTGGAGAGAAACTGAATAAAATTGTTTGCTAGTTGTGCCTCATGAGTTCTTTAGTCAAAGTAATAGTTACTAAGAGTGTATGTGTGTGTGTGTGTGTGTGTGTGTGTGTGTGTGTGTGTTTTCAGATAAATTACATTATTTAGTATTGACCTTGTTAAAAGCCTCATCCTGTTTTATAAACTCCCAAATACTTCTCAAAAAAGAGGTTGACATAGCGTTGTCTTACTTCATCAGGTACTTTGGACGAGGATTCTGATTCTCCTATGGCCCTTTTCTGATGAGCCACTTTATGTTTCAACATCTTGTTAAATATAAAATTGATTAGAGAAAAGAAGAATACATGTGTGTTCTGTTTAACATTCCTACTATGTGTATGAAAGTATAACTATCTTAGCTAAGTTTTATATCCAAAATTAAATTTAAAAATAATTTCAAGTTTTAAATTCATCAGAAGTAGAATAAATGCAAGGCATAAATTATCTACACTCACAAAAGGGAGAAGGGGGACAGCTGCCTGTATGTCCACCATTATTAAGGCTGATCTGATTACTCATCTAATCCCTTTGCTGTTTCCATATCCAGATTCTTAGAACCATGGTTTGATCCTCTGATCAGCGTATAAGAAGGTGTGTAGTTTACTATTCTTTTTTTTATAAATTTATTTATTTATTTATTTTTGGCTGCATTGAGTCTTCGTTGCTGCGCGAGGGCTTTCTCTAGTTGCAGCGAGCGGGGGCTACTCTTTGTTGTGGTGCGCAGGCTTTTGATTGCGGTGGCTTCTCTCGTTGTGAAGCACGGGCTCTAGGCACGCGGGCTCAGTAGTTGTGGCGCACGGGCCTAGTTGCTCCGCAGCATGTGGGATCTTCCCGGACTAGGGCTCGAACCCGTGTCCCCTGCATTGGCAGGCGGATTCTTAACCACTGCACCACCAGGGAAGTCCCAGTTTACTATTCTTAAAACAAATATATGTCCCAATGTCTTTCAGTTACCTTTTCATTAAGAAAAATGTTTGGACTTAAATTTATGACAATCTTTGCATGTTCAATATTAAAACGATCCCAGCTAGAAACAAGGTGAGCATTCCTTTTGACGGACTTAAAAAGACTAAGAATTCTAGGATGAGTTAATCTACCTCACTTTTAGGAGGGACAAAGCCTTAAAACTGACCAGTAGTTTTCCGCTAAAGAATATTTGGTAAAAAGAAAAAAAAAATCATTGCCACAAGTAGGGGAAAATTGACTAAAGAGGAAAGGTTGTACTATCATATTACTAGTGGGCATTATTTTCTAAAGGTCTGTCTCTGTCTCCTTGTCTCTCTCACATATGTACACATATACACCCCTCACTGGATGTGGCTTGAAAGGCATATTCCAATGTAAAACTTTTCTCTGAAAAACTCTGAGGCAGCTTAAATTAATCATAGCTACAGATATTTTAGGTCTGAAAAAATGCCTAATGTTTCCAAGGATGGGAAAACCAAATTAACCAAAAGTGACACACAGGCACACATCCCATGATAATATGAAAATAACTATATCTAAGGGTAACCAAAAAAGGTTGAAATTTCTCTTCAATAGGTTTGGCATTTATCTGAATTAGGGGTCTTCAGAGAGAAGAATATACCCACTCTCCAAGGGGCTCTATATATGAGTAGGATATGATGGTAATTAGAAATAAAATTCTTATCTTCAGACGTAGTTTATAGTACCTTTACAGGAAAAGAAGCAATACTTTCCACAGGAATGTGTGATCTGTTTGGCTTTGCAGTTGGATTTTCCTTTGAAAGAGCTACATCCCCATGAAGGCTGTCTGATGTACATGAATTTTCTAAGAAGTTTAAAATGAACGAGAGAAAAAGGAAAAGGTAAATTTTAATGTCATTAGTCTCAGATGATGAGTTTATTTCAATCATCAACTCAAAGTTTCACAATGCTTCATTTATAGGCTTTATCTCTCTCTCTCTCTATATATATATACATATATATTTTTTTTCTTGAAGAAAACAAAATGCAAACACAAAAGGGTCCCAATAACCACCTCCAGTATAACCTAGAACAAATTTAAATAATTTATAAAGCGACTTGCTCCATGTAAGAATGCATGCAAAATACTACCTTTTATTGCCTAGCGTACAGAGATAAACAATATAAATGATTTAGATATCAAGCTAATCGTATTATTTCATGTAAAGCTCTAGGTGATTGACTTAACTATAATGGGGACTATATGGACTTCATAAGAAACATTTTTAAAATAAGGTAGAACCTCATTTATTAAATAAGTGAGTTAAAAAAAAGAAGATTTTCTCATACCTCCTGAGGCTTTCCTTTGGGTCTGAGAGGCTGGACATGCAAATGTATTTTTTTTCTGTTCTGAAGTAGCAGCAACAAAAGCCTGCCCACCCTTAATGGCAGCCATTATCTGCACTGCCTGTTGCTGGGCCTGAAGGATTCCAGTGTGACTAATTAATGGTGGGACTGGTCCCCTGGATGGGCTAGTGATCTCTTTACTGGTTGGAACCTACAAAGCATCAACATAAAACAAAAAAATCCTGATTTTAAAAATGGATGAGATGGATAATTTCACTTTCCTTTTGCACAAAAGCTCTTTGGAATTGACTACGTTCACAATACTACATGTAGTCCGATACACACATAATTGGAATATTTCCAGAAATAAAAAAACTGAACAATTTAAGCATATAATTTAAGACATTTTTTTCTTGAAATAACAGAGAAAATTAAGTCTTATAAGAAAATGACACTTTGTATGCAGGTAAAAGTGGTAATAAGACATATCCTAATGAAGTTATTGAAATTCAAAGTTAAGAAAAGAATCCATTAGGTAACCTGGCAGACGTATCAGGTGACCCATACAGGGAGAAATAGCAGGCTAGCATCAGACTTCTCCACAGCAACGTTCATTATGAGAAAAGAAGGGAACATATGAAAAAATGTTCAGCTTCACTAGTAATCAAAGAAATGTAATATAAACTAAGGAAATAAAATTTCACTCAGATTTACAGGTTTAAAAAATGATAATACCCATTTTTTTGTAAGGTTTGTGGGAAGGGAACCCTGGAACACTGTGTAGGACTGTAAGTTGTTACAACTCTTCTAGAAGGCAATATGGTAACATTTGTTTTTTTTTTTTGGTACGCGGGCCTCTCACTGTTGTGGCCTCTCCCGTTGCGAAGCACAGGCTCCGGACGCGCAGGCTCAGCGGCCATGGTTCACGGGCCCAGCCGCTCCGCGGCATGTGGGATCTTCCCGAACCGGGGCACGAACCCGTGTCCCCTGCATCGGCAGGCGGACTCTCAACCACTGCGCCACCAGGGAAGCCCGGTAACACATTTTTAAAATCATAAAAGTCTTTATCTTCTTTTGCCCAGTTACTTCTATTTGTGAGAATGTATTCTTAAAAAATTGCTGATGAAACCGACAGTCATTTAAATATAAGAATTTGGGGGGGAAGTTATATAGCACAGTAATGTGAAAACTAACCACCACATCACTTGCAATTAAAGAGAAACAAGGTTAGCCTCCTAAAAACCTTTTTCATAAGAGAGAAGGGGAGAGAAACTAGTTTAGTAAATATCTATAGTATCTGACCCCGGGATGCGCAGGTATTCACTATCTCCATTTCACGGATATGGAAAATGAAATAGAGAAATTAAATAATTTGCTCAAGCATGTTCAACTATTCTGTAAAGAACTGGAATTCAGGGTCTTATTTGCGACTTAGAAACATAGTCTTTTTATGCCATGCAGAAGATTCTGCTGTCAGTATGTACCAAGTAAAAATAATACAGAGACTAGAGCAGAGAAATAAAGTTTGTGTTAAATAGCACTTTTTAACACAAAAGTGTTAAAGGAATAATACTCGCTGCAGTGTTTATACAGTTTCTTTACATGTCATAAAAGAACTTCAGCATTTATAATATAAATTTACAAGAGGTTCAAATTGCTTTGAAAAACTACCGTCAATTCCCCTTACTCACGCTAGTTAAGTTCTACAGAGTCCCGCAAACAATGAAGTAGCAAATACTGAACCATTACAGGTGAGTATCTGGTCACAGCAGTTTCATCAACCAATGTTTCATAACCTTGTTATATGCGTGTTTCTGTTTAAAGATACTTCATTTAGTATATAATGCTGATTCATCAACACTGAATTTGTGGTCAACAGCACTAAAAACTCGTGCCTGAACAAAGTTGTTTAACACACATTTTCTCTGTAAGGCACAGCACAGCCTTCTTGCACCAAGGAACACTAGACAGCACTATACTTGGGGACCATTTTAAATAACAAAATCACCAACAAAACACACAAAAATGCAGAAAACATGGCACCAGACAGACGCAGGTAAGAACCTTGGTTAACAGTATGACAGCTGAACAAGAAGTCAGTGTTGCCTTGTTCAAACTTAGTTGGGAACGTGCATGTTAGGCGATTCAATTCAATTTTTTTGGCCACTGCGCCTGTGTACAGAGGACCACAAAAGCATGAGTCTCGATTTTAAAGTTACAAATTAATTTTACTGAAGAGGCAAATTTGCAAATACAGAATCTGAAAATAATAAGGTTTGACCATATTAATTTATAGATAAAAGGTTATACAAAAACAACATACCTTCTTTTAATGAAAACGTTAGATAATGGGGGAGAGAAATGAAGGTTTCAGAAAATGCTTACAAGTAGGCAAGAAATTTATTGACTGCCCACTTGCGCCCCCTAGTGGATAATAGGATAATAAGTACTGGAATATACTTAAAGCTTGAAATGACAAGGTAGGTACTTCACAAACTGCTGAGAGAGACCGGGAGGGTGGGAAGTGGGAGAGAAAGAGAAACAAAGTGACTCACATCAAACTTGGCAGTGTGTGCAATCCTCCTTTTCGGTCCAGAAATGTTTTGGTAATATTGCATATCTAATTCCATTTGCTTTCCTGAAGGCTAATGGGAAAAAGATAAGACTTATCCAATTTCAGGGTAGTAAAAGCAAAGTTATGTTTCCTGAAGAGCCACAGGAATCCAAGCTACAAAATACTAGGCAAATTATTAAAAAATAATTCAGAAAAAATAATTTAATTTGGATAATCTGACATGCATAGATTCCTATAAAAGATACCTCTAATTTGGGAAATCAACTATAAGTTACTGTACATAATACCAGGGTCTCTGGAAAATGTCAAGTCTGCAAGACATGATGGCTGGCCAATTACCAAGGTTTTGCCTTATTTTAATACATTATTAATCATAAGTATTAGAAATATATATAATAGATGTTATATATATTCTATAGAGTTTAGAATATAGAGAATATATATTTAAGGGAAACTCCTTTAGATTTAGGAAAAGGATTTTTTAAAAAGTGACCAACCTGCTTAGCAGTCTCTCCCTTATGAGCTTTGCTTCGTGTGAACTTATTGAAAATTCGAAGACATTCCTTTACAGTGTCATCAGCCTCAGAGGGAGTGTCATCTTCAGTACGTTCCTTACCAAAATCAACTTCAACTAATCTGTTGTCTTCAAAAGTAGTGAAGTCTTGACTGTCGTCTTGTACTCTCAGAACTTTGTCTTTCACATGATCGTCTGAATAAGAGAACTGGAGTTGGCTTGGTGAGTATCGCCATTCAGTTTCTTCTTTTTGAGTATCATCAATTGTATTTACACGTCTTCTGCTCTTTGGATAACTTTCATTATGACTTTCCTTCTGTATTTCTTTGTCACTGAGCGGTGCACAAGTTATACTTCCTCCTGAAATACAGACATGCTTTTCCTCACCATCGAAGCTTTCCATCTTAGAAATGTGGTCTTTAACACCCCACAAGTTTATGTTAGTTTTAGTATCTAGTGAGGTTTTCAGGTGTGATTTTGGTGGTTCGAACTTGTTACTGTCATCATCTGTTTGTGCGGTTAGCTGGGTTTCATCTATTTTTTCCTCTTCTATACCACTGATCTGAAGATTTCTCTCCTCCAGGGGCGATACTTGGATCTTTTCATCCATATTCTGATATTTAAAGCCTCTAAATGGTTTAGATTTCTTAGAAGTAGGAATGATTGGAGGTACATCCATTACAAGGTCATCTTCATCAGAATCTTGAAGATTTATTTTAATTCGTATTGGTGAAACATAAGGTCTTTGGCTCTGCAGGGACTTGTGGCAATTTCCACCCACAGATTTTTTCCAGAAGTGCTGCCTGTCAGTCTCACCCCGCATTGCTTTAGATGCCCCAAGCAGCCCTGCAGAATAATTGAGCAAGGGATCATATTCAAGGTCAGTTGCTGGACACCTGTGGTCCATCACGTACTTTCTAGGCTGACTCTCTTTGCTCTTTGACGGTTCATTCCACTGTTCTTTTGGGAGCAGGCTATTTTCAGGAAAACCTTGTCTCACAATTGTGTCACTCAAGGAGGCCACGGGGCTTTGCGATAGCTCTTCAAGCGCTAAAGTAAACCTGGAGAGCCTCTTCCGCTTTTCTGCAACCTCAGCCTTGACTGACTCGATTTCTTTGTTGATTCTTTCCAATTCTTCCATAGTTGTGCCTAGTGTTGTTAATGGAAGATGAGTTTATCTTTAAACATCACTTAAGATGAAATGTGGATTCCAGAATATCCTGGACAATGAGTTTCCTATCACAAGGACATTAACTTTTCCAAACCCAGCCTTAAATGCAGGGAATTGTTGACTAACAGGTCAGTTCCTGGAATGAGAATGTCAACGGCTATCACTGATTAAGTCTTTCAAATGTCTAGCTCATTCCCATGACATTAAAGTACATTCGTGTCTTATTACTAGAGTAACTATACATCTGTGAGATAGGCCACGTGTATACATATTAAACTGTGTCAAACATGACACGGTTTGGATATACACGATTCACCTTATTATTTACCAAGCAGTGACAATTTGGTAATAGTTCAAATAGTCGAATGCCTCTTACACAGAACTGTACATAGTCTCACACACCAATATATCTCCTCTGTCACAAGAAAGTTTTTTAAAAACATTAGTTTTCTTAATTTAGTGGTTCTTAACATTCTCACTAAGGGCCCTGATATTCTACAGAATGCCTCAAACACCAAATTAAGCAAAACACACCCTTCCACAACCAACCAACCGTTAAAAAAACCTTAAACAAAATCAAAAAAAGAAAACTTCAGACCAGTTGGATCCACACTCCTGAGGAAACCCAGGATAGCGACAAGAGATCAGGCTGCTGGTCACGGCTCTTCACAATACCTGGCAGCTCCTTTCCTGACTTTTCACTAAGGAAATCCCCACCTCTTCCCTCTCTCCAAGATATACTTTCCTATGGAAATTATGGGATAATTTACATACTTCTCTCTTCGCCCAAACAAGAAATTTCAGATATGAGATGTCCAAATTACACTCGTTAAAACTCTGAATTTATTTTAGATAACCTACATGTTTTGATAACACACATGTGCTTCCTCTTTACACAATGAGCTTTCTCCTGGCTCGCTAGCGTTTCAATTTACCATTTGTTTTCTATTAAGAAATCAACTCTATTGAAATCCAAAACAACGTGTGTAACAAAGGTGTAGGGCATTTTGATGGAGTAGGAAAAAGGCGAAGAGCCGGCACAAGAATGAGAACTATTCTATGTTCCAAACATAAACAAATGGCTCGAATTGCTTTTTAAATAAACTTGGAAAGGGGAGTAAACTCTGGGTAACCAGCTAGAACTGCATTTTGGCATAAGCTGGGTTTTATCTGGTTGCCATGATTCAGGAAAGGCTATTTAAGCAGTGCGTTGGGATGCTATTGAAAAAACAAAAAGCTGTACTTTCCCTCCATGTCAGAAGTTTAAAACTTTTTTGCTCCATCAGAAGCTAGATTTGGAGGGCAAATTTTGAAGTCTGAGGCACACTTACAACCTTCGCTCAGGCTACAGGTGATTGGAAACAGCTCCTTCTGACTTGTAAATCCTCTTCGCCACAACCGGGGTCCCACCCCACCCATCACCTTTCCCCAGAGCCCAGGAAGCTCCTTAGAGTAATTCCATACTGCGGATGGGTGACAGGAAGCGAGGATAAAACCACACAAGACCACGCACGTGCATCTTACTGTGCATGCCTTTCTAGGACCCCGCGTTCCCAGGAGCTGGCATCACCGGTCCGCACACGCCGGTCCACAGCACACTCCTCGCCCTGCCTACCTGGCCACGTGACTTTGGCCCCGCCCCGCTCCCCCCTCCGGAGCCTTGGGGGCGGGGTGGCCACCCACGTAGAGCCGGCCTGGAAGCTGAGCTGTTACTGGGGCGGAGATTCTCTGCGGATGACCCGCCTAAGCCAACCATCTTCCCGAATGTCCCTGGGACGCCCCTGCTCCACGGTTTCAGGAACTGTGTGACCACCCAAAAGGCTCTCGAAGAACGTCCTCAAACAGGATCTTGCATAGCACCCTCACTGCTCGGTATATGTCGAACACACTTGACGTGGGAGGGGCGAAGTAAGAGGGACTAAGGACTAGCCCTTAAGGCTCCCGAACCTGGGTGTGCGATGCTGGGAAGATTTACTCTTGGGAACTCTTAACAACTTGGTTCCTCGTTGGAAGGCAAGTGCTTGTTTTCCTCTTGCCCATAATAGCCACTCTATAGGAATTGCCCTTAAGTAGGTAGGTGGGAGCAAATAGCCCTTTTTGAGGGCTGGGGAGGAGACAGATTATGGGCATCAGAGAAAGGAAATGCAAGGGTGTTTCGGAATGGGGGGAAACGAGTTAAAAAGGAACTGGTTTTATTTTGTCCTTTAAGAGGAAACAAACACATCAGAGGTCCAGACAACCTGTTTAGGAAATCCAGGTTTAGTCATGGGATGGAGGGTCAGCAGGGGACAAATGAAAAGACACTCCTCCTCCCAGCACACATACACACCAGCCTGGGCTGTATGACCCTCTCCTCGCTTCTAGGCTAGGGGAGGGGGTAGAAGAAAGCGAACTTCAGTAAGGACTACCTGACATTCTTCATGCCCCGCCCCCAACACCATGACTTCACTTTACAATGCTACCTACAATGGTATCTGCAAGTAATGCCAACTGAGGATGAGATACCAATTTAAAAAATATATATAGTTAACATCCCTTTTGGCCCTTTTAGGCATAGTAAAGCCATATTGAGTAATTTTCTCAAGGTACAGTACATTAGTACTGTAGACAAAAGCAACCCTTACACCTCTTTCCAAGCAAGAAAATTCGTGGTCCCTTCCAAGGGTGGGTGGAGTAAAAAGGTGGGAACGGTTCGTAGCCAACCCCTCCCCAAGCCCACCTGACATTCTACCCACAAGCCTTTTCTCACCTATGGATTCAACATGGCTCCGCTGCACTCCGAGCACCTCCAAGCTGCTGCCACGAGCTGCCTCACTCAGTTCCCACCGCATTTCCCGGTGCCTGAACTGGCAGCACAAACGCTGGCACCGACCCCCGGGGCTGTCAAAAGGGCATGGAAAATGGCAAAAGTAACCCACGGAGGGCAGCATGGGCTACTGCTCAAGGTCACCTCCTCTGGCTTCGAAAATTGTGTGCACTGACGGCAAAAGCACGCAAAGCTTAACACACGCCCTACTGCCTCTTCTCCCGCCAGGGTACCGCCTTATATAGTCCGTTGCTACTCGAAGGCGGAGCTTCGTAGCTTTCCCAGCCAATGGGGAGGTTGGGGCTGGCGTCAGGGGAGAAAATAACGAGGGAGGGAATGACCTAGAGAACAGATGGTAGGGCCGCATCAGGTGGGTGTAGTGTGTGTCTGTCCTCCATGGGGAAGAAGGTTCATAAAGACCTAACCTACAGGTAGAGAAAACAATTTCCCAAGAGCTGAAAGGACCCTTGGATTAAGGAATCTCCTGCCTTGTGGATGCCTACCTTGTTCCTAAACAACATCCTTTGACTTATAATAAGTTTGGCTATTAACCTTCATGGATCATGGAGAGAACCTCAGCTGTGAAGCACATCTAAACTTTGCCTCTCTCTAGCAGGTGATCTTAGGCAAGGTATCTGACTTACCCGAGTTCTCCTTTCTTGATCTGTAAAATAAACTTGTCTTTCATAGGGTAGTAGAATTCAGTGTGCTGTAATGTACCAAAGTGCCTAGCATAAAGTAGGTGAGAATTTAGGAGGACAAGTTCTTTCCCTTCCCATCATCAACACATATCCACAAAGGACCTGGTACATGTCCCTAAAATCCTTCCAGTTGAAACTGATTCCTAAAAGGGAAACAGTTCCCTATTCCATTGTTCTTCTTTGTAAACTGAAATACTCCTAGGATAGATAGGCTCATAAGTCACTGATGACTTCAATTAGTCTTTGAGATGTTTGCTTTTCTTTCAATAGCACATACTGAGCCTGGGTGCTTGGGGGAAGAGAGAAGGAAGGGTCCTCCAGTTCTAAAAAATTCAGGGTCCATGGATCCCCCTCTAGGAAATTACAGGCTGGGATCCCTCCTTCCTTTCTTTTCTTCTGAAAAACAATGTTATCTCAAATGGTTATGGATACTTTAGAAGGTCCTAAATCTTACTGTCGTATGAGAGGACCCTGATGACTTGGAAACAATTGAAGAATGCTAAGAGTCTCTAGTGCTAGTTTTGTCTCTTGATACGGCGCACCTGTTTTGCCAGTAAAACATGAACAGGTGTGTTTTTTTTGCTTTGGTGGTGGGGAGGGGCATAGTTAGTAGTGATTAGCCTGAAAGTCCTCAAAATGCCCCCAAGTAAGGTAAAAAACTAAATGTTCTCATTTTAAAAACAACCAGCCTAGAATGAATACTTTCCTTAAGTCACTTTCCAGGATCAGTTTTACTTGATGAAGTTTTCCACACCTTATTTCCTTCTATTTCTTTCCATTAAATAGTTTTTATAGCTGAGAGATTTTTTATTGAATATGCCCTCCTTTTAAAACACCAGAAAGTTCGAAGGTCTCAGCAGAGTTTCCAAATCATAACATGAGTGTCACCAAGCTATTTTTTATGACAAAAAAATTAAAGTTGTCTATTCATCAGTGGGTTCCTCTCTCTGTTCCTCACTCTGAAGTCTGACTCATCATTCATGCCTGTCTCATCGGAGCCTGTGGATAACATGTCCATTGTCCTAGATTTTGACCTTGTGTCTGATTTCCTAATTCTGACGAAGTGGTGCCCCAAAATGTGCTGCTCTCAGCAGTCTTACAGAAAGATGTGTCTGATACGCCTTCTAATGGATGAAAGTAAGAAAGAGTTGCCAGCTCTGGGTTGATAGAGTATTCACCACTCTGATAAGCTTTTTTATATCTGAAAAAAAAATACATACATCAAAAATTGTTTTTAATTGTGTACGTTTGCAGCTTGGCTTAGAAAAGCATCTTAAAGTGATATATGAATTCTATCCAATGTATTAGCTATTTATTATAACACTATATAAATGAATGAAAAATGTTAGACCCTACACAGATGTGCTATTTAGAACAGAGGTCATAGCCCTTTTGTTTCAAGGCTATTAATAGAGAATGCATTTCTAGATTCTCTATATCCTTTCCAATTGACTAGGGTTGTTTCTATCTCTAGATGACTATTTAAAATATTGGGAAAAAGTCCAAGTGGGATATTCCCTGAGAGACAGCCCCATGCTCCTTTCCAAATAGGGGAAATGGAGCCAAAATGAATACCTTATGAACTTGGGAGTCACGTTTGCCTAGCACTCTACTAAAGAGAGCAGGTTGGGTGTTTCCTCTCACGTGCTTTAAAGACTCCAGAGGTCTGTAGACTTACTTCATTGTCTTCATTTTGTACATCACGGCACTACAGATTGCCAAGAGGATGACAAAAAGGAAGAGAGTCATCAACAAGAGGCCCAGCATTAACTTTAATTTGGCTTCCTGTAGTTCTGCCAGGTAGTCTTCATCTGTAGCATTCACATCAGAGTCTGAGAGGAAAGAAAGAAAATGCAATGGGAAAGAGTGACTCTGTTCGGCACGTTTTCCTGGAGGAATAAGGATCGCAAAGCAACTGAAGAGAAGCCTTCACCACCCGGAGTCTTCACTGAATTCTCCCCGCTACCCTCATGCAATGCAAAGGAGAAGGCTATAGGCCACTCCCTATGGCCAAGTACTCTTAACTTTTTTACCTTTCCCCTTCACAGCAATCTTGGGGGAGCTGTCCTTTGCTCCATTTTCCAGGATCACAGAAGTTTATGGATTTGCCCTTGGTACATAGCTAATAAGTGGCAAAATTTGGTATCAAACCCAGGTTACCAGATGTTAAAATATGTATCAGACTTCCTCCCTGAATAATATAAAAGAAAAACAATTCAAGACTCTGAAGAGATTGCTATTAAAAATGTGATGAAATTACACACAAGGGATTAGTCCTTCAAGAGAGGAAGATGCAATTCTACTGTTGGGACATACGTTGACTTTCTTTTAAGCTAAAAGGATGATGTACTACAATGCTTTCTCCACAAGGCTTAAGAACTGAATTTGCGGGCTTCCCTGGTGGCGCAGTGGTTAAGAATCTGCCTGCCAACACAGGGGACATGGGTTCAAGCCCTGGTCCCAGAAGATCCCACATGCCATGGAGCCACTAAGCCCGTGCACCACAACTACTGAGCCTGAGCTCTAGAGTCCGCGAGCCACAACTACTGAGCCCGCATGCCACAGCTACTGAAGCCCACGCGCCTAGAGCCCGTGCTCCACAACAGAAGCCACTGCAATGAGAAGCCCGTGCACCACAACGAAGAGTAGCCCCCACTCACCACAACTAGAGTAAGCCCGCATGCAGCAACAAAGACCCAACACAGCCAAAAATAAATAAGTTTATAAAAAAAATGAACTGAATTTGCCATTTTATTACTGTGATCAAATCTAGTGTACTTGATGTTAAAGAAATGGAAATTTAGTTAAATTTCTAAAATACATTATAAAATAAAAATCATGTCTGGATCCAGAAACGTCAAAAGTCTTTTTACTAAAGTAATGAAAATATATCTTTACTGCCAAATTTTATATCTTCCTAAATATATGTCTGACTTAATAGGCATTTAATGGTGACTTTAAATAACCATGTTGCTATTTCTCTCCTTTCCCCCAACCTCCTACCACCCAAAAGTTCCAACGGTTTTCATGATTTTCTAGGTAATGATATTTTGGTAATAAGCAATGACAAGCTCCCATGTCTAACTCTCTGATATTTAAAAAACTTGTAATTGTCCAAGTGCAATCCTAGGCCAAGGGGAGTGAAATGTACACAGTTGTCAATGACTGATATCTTGACTTTGAGGGAGATTATTTTGGGAATAAACAAATTAGGTTAAAATGGACTGTGCTCCTGAATTGCTTTGCTATTCCTTAAAAGGGTGTTTGTAAATAGGTGTACTTATAGTACATTTTGTTTATCAAGGTGGTGGTCAAAACTAGAGAAGGGTTTGAAATTCCTAACCACTGGAAATTATAGAAAAGCGAATTACAAGTTTGGACAGCTTTTTTTTTTTTCCTCTAAGCCTCAGTTTCCTCATCAGTAAAATGGAGATAATACCAACTTTCATGGAGTTGCTGTGAGGGCTGACATAATAATGTATGTATAGTGTAGTATGTGCTCAATACGTAATAGAAAATCAGTGATGCTCATTTTAATTACTTGAAAAGACAAAATATTTCTAAAGCATTTGTCATTACTGTATATCACTTTTCTAAACAAAGAAGACTGACTCTGTTTTCTTGATGCACTGAAAGGCAAGTGGCTGTACTTGTCAAATAATCCAGTACAGAATTGAGGTGACAGGCCTTAGATGTATTATCAGATGCTATTTCTTTTTCAATGTCTTTTTGTAGGACAGAGGTTTGGGGAAAATTAATATATTGCCTTGTTATGAAATGGAACACCAATGGAAGATATCAATAACAGGGGAAACTGAGCAGGGGGAATATATGAGAACTCTGTACTTTCTACTCAATTTTTCTATAAGCCTAAAACTGCTCTAAAAAAGTCTGTCAATTTAAGACAACTGCATCCTAAATATTGTTCACTTGCCTACTCCTTCATTTGGTTTACTGTTTCAGGAATATAAGTTACAAAACAGGAAGATGGAAATAGTCATCTGCAATGTGGTCATTGAAGAACACTGTTTAGGAACCATAACTTTCCTAAAACTGTAAATGTCCTCTCTGGTATGATGTCAGCCACCATGCTACCTTGTTACATATTCTATACCTTACTGAGGAAAACAGTATCACCATGTAGACACTAAAATGTGTGAAAGTATTTATGTATCCCTTTAATTGAAGTATTTTGTTCTCACTTGGAATTGGGTGAGAAAATTGATCTCGTTGGTTGTCCTCATTGGTGGTTGCATTTATAGCTGTTAAAACAATAAATTGGTGTTACGGTAAACAAACTTCACTCACTTTTGTGTGTGAATATGTGTGTGTGTATACAGCTTATTCTCATTGTTCATGGTAGTCATGGTTAAGCTATGTGAGCACTGAATTAGTGAACACTGAACCATCATCGTTCCTAAGGGAAATACAGGGTTAGGTTCCTGTGAGCCTCTGGTCACTACTTTTCATCAACCAATCAATATCTAACCTTGTTTTATGTGTGTGTTTCTGTTTAGAGACACTTTATTTAGTATATACTGCTGACTCATCAACATTGAGCTCACAATCAACAGCATTATAACTCACACCTACATGAAGCTTATATAATACACACACATTTCTCCTAAGGTACATCACAGCCTTCTTGTGTTTAGGAACATTAAACAGCATTGTACTACTATACTTGGGGGGCATTTAAAATAGCAAAATCGCCAACAGAAAGCACAAAAATGCGAAACACCCAGCACTAAGTAGACCACAAAAAAGGAACTTGTTTAAAGCATGAGAGCTGAAAAAAGAAGTCCTTTGTTCTACCTCAGCTCGGAACAAGAGCATCAGGCAATTAAATTTTTTTTGCTACTCTGTGTGTGTCCACAAATGACTGTGAAAGTTCTGCAAGTGGAGGGTTCCAGATAAATTTTAGATACAGGTAAATTCACAAATACAGAATCTGCAATTTAGAATCCACTGAATATGGTATATATTTCACATTTATAACACATGCATATATGTGTGTGATAAATGAATTCTATTTATACATGTATGTATATATAGATGATATGCATGTTACATTTATACATGCATACATACAAATACTATGCATGTTACATTTATACATGCATGATTGTACCTTTATGGTTTATATATTACTTTTATGCATGCATATATTTTGATATATACCTTGCATTCATTCATGCCTCTCCATGTGCATACTGCTCCAAATACAAAGAGGGATTATATTGAGCAAGAGCCTTATTTAACATTTTTAATCATAAAGTAAATGACTAGATTGCAACATTTGTAGGAAAATAAGAGTTTTGGGGAGAGAATCAGAAAATGTGTGACACTGATCAGATTTCTGGGTTTGTTTTGCATTTGCTATTACATGTGATGATGGCAGCAAAATGTTGACTTATTAATTCTTAGTATTAGAACAATTTACACTGACCTTGGCTTTCTTACAGAAGACTTTAGAAAACCAAAACATTTTCCCAGCTACCTAACTACTATGAGTTTACCTTTAGCTAACATTGTCCAAAATGCAGGCTCATTTGGACTCTGGATTGGTTCTGTTTAAAAAACAAAATAGAACATGATAACAAAATAAGGTAATTTGGCTTCGGTAAATTTTTGATAGAACATTCATTCGTTTGTTACTTTAGTCATCTAAAAGTTATACCTTGAGTTCCTATCATGTGCCAGACCCTGTGGTTGGCATTAAAGTTACAGAAATGAACAAGGTCTTATGCACACTCTCAATTTGGGAGACAGACAAGAATCACTGTTAATTATGTTGCAGGGTAATGAGGGCTTTCATAGAGATGCACAGGTGGTATGCACAGAGGGATCTAATTCAACTTCCAAAAGCCAGAAACACTTTGAGAGGGAGACGATGCTCCTGTATAGGCTCAGAGGACTAGAAATTGTTTGCCAGACAAACTATGTAAGAGAGAGATCATTCCACTGTGAGCAAACTCAGGTGTCATAAGCAGGTTCGGTAAGCTCTGAGAGCTTCAGGTATTCTGGAGTGGAGAATGTGGGTGAGGAATGTGACCAGAGATGATACTGGCAAGTTCTTCAATGGTCAGATCATTTCAGACTTGAATGCCTGGTTAAGAACTTATAATATGACCCCAAACCTAGTAGAAAATTACTGAAGATATTTAAGAAGGGGCCAACCAGGACGATCAGATTTCTATATTTAAATATATCAAGAAAGTGAATAATATTAGAGTAATCATATGAGAAACATACTTGGATTGCATGAACTGGAGAACATAGGGTTTCATGTAATAACAGTCCACTGTCTTCAATTAGACCACTCCTCTTTCAAGACCTGAGAGGAGAGCCATCCTGGGTTGTTATTTTTTCACAAGTATTTTATAAGGAACAATATTCTTGTCAGAAAAAGTAAAATGATAATTTTGATTTTGTAAACTCTCACTCTGAACTTTCCCCCATTAATAATCTTAGGAAACACCAACAATTGACGCTAAGCAGAGGCAAGTTTACTTCTCAAGCATGTGATTGTTATATCATTATTTTAAAATTATATTAAAATGTATTAAATATATTTATATAAATATATATTTATACACACATGATATTTTAGATAAATATATATTTAATATAAATATAAATGTAATACATTTTACTAAAATAAAGTTGTATTTTAAAAAGAGCTCACTTCCTATCACTTGTCAAGTAAATCTGAAAATTGAGTCTTAGATTTTTTTACCATTTAAAAGATTTTAGAGTGACTTTAAATTGTAGTAGTACAAATTCTTTAAGCATGTTATTACTTTACGAAATACTCAGATTAATGAAAGTTAAATTTTTAAGTCATATAATGATAAGCTCCAGGTCTGACTACAGTATTGTAACTTTAATACCGTGAATAGTTTTTTCAATAGGTTCTTTACTTTCTTCTTCATTGCTGACTGTTTCAGGAGGTGGTAATGTCGTTGTTTCATTGACGAGTTCATCTACGAAAAGGCATAATGGATTATCAGCATATAAAAATAATGACTCAACATTTGTGATTAGGCAATTTTTAAGCTAAAAAAATAGAAGAAAAGGAGACAAAAAATATCAAAACAAAAAAAAACAAAGAGAAAGATGTTGACATTTTCCTGAGATACCTTAAAGGAGGGGAAAGAAGAAGGCTTTGAAGAATGATGTTTGTATGATAATGGGTTGCTTGAGGTGGGATTAATATGCCTCCAATTTGCAAGAGTGAGGAAAAACTGGGAGCGTGGAGCCACAGGCTTCCTTTGACAGTATGGAAGATCTATTGGATGAGAGACATTGGCTTCACATGGCTCCCTGAACAGGCCTTGAAGTGATACTGTCACTTCAGGACAAGTTGGTTGCTGGTCAGGGTGGTGACATGAAAGAGTTGTAACATAAATGTCCTTGCAAACTGGAAACACATGCATGTTAACTACTCAAAACAGAGTTTTGGCCCTAAAGATTTGGGGCTACAAATGAAGGATTTTCAGGCCTGATTTAGTATATATCTCAGTCTACAATGTTTCCATCTGGAGGTATGTCAGCAAGAGTGTATTTGGGAACAATTGTGACTGAAGGACCATTGTTCTCCCCACGAAGTTGGCACTTTCAGTTAAATTGCTTCATACAGGAGTCGATAAAGTTCCATATGAAGTACAGGCAACCCCACTTCTAGGAAGATTTCTACTGAGCCTACAAACAGCACAGGTATCTTGTTGGCAAGGAAGGATGGAAAAAAGAATCCGTTACCAGAGTTGACACAGATTCAGGCAGGGCTGGAACAATTGGGAAGTAATCCTTTAACTCTGCTATGCAACCTTCAGACTTGATTTTGGAGAAAAATGTCTGGATTGTCTCACTACTGCCTTGCTCTCATCATTTTAGGGACTAAAAGAATTGTTAGTCAAAATTTTTCTGGAGATTTCCATCTCCTTGGGGAGCTTGCTCCTCCAGAATGTCCCCGCCATGTCAACATGTCTCCCTCTGTTAGGGCCCCTTTTAAAATGGCCAAAATTTCTTATCCCAGTACAACTTTGACAATCCTTTGGGGACCTGAATTATAGGAAGACAAGTTAGGGTTTTGGAATCTTTTCCATGGGTCCTGTGGTCTTCAATAATCCATTTCCTAAGGGAATTTGAGGTACCTGGTCTGTTTAAGAATTGGCTCTGTATGTCTTATCCCAAATGGCTCAAGATGTTGTCTGCTGTGTGCAAGCAAAATTCCCATAAGAGGTTTGTCTAATTAATGTATGCCCTTGAAATGTCCCTATCCATTTATGCCCCAAATTTTGGAATTGCTCAAAATATTTCGTTATTGTCAAGTAGCTTTATTAATAATTAGGCATTGCTGAGTCTGGCTTTTCCCAATATTGAATATTGTCATAGCCAGAAATATGCTCTCTTGCCTTATTTATTTTCATCCCCTTTTCCTTGTCTTCTTGTCTTTCATAGATATGAGCTATTGACACTTCAAGGTGAAAGATGTGGTATAGGTACTTTAGAGACTTTTAATGGCCTCCAGAGTCACATGCTGGCAACAGTTTTATCGATCAATAGTTACACTTGGTGGAAAGATGCAAAAAAGAAATAACATTTGAAGCTGAAAGTGCAAAGCAGAAAGAAGTAAAAATGTGGGTTTAAGAAAAAACAATTTTCTAGAGTCCTAAATTTAGTTATTTCATTTTTCTTTCCACACAAACCAAAAATATGAGGCTAAGAAATATAAGAACATCCTTGCCTTCTGAATTTATCAATGCAATGGCTATGGTGGAGTCTCCCTATTTTAGGAACTAAGACTCCCTGACGACATTAGCTCCACTAAGATCTTTTTCCTACCCAATACTCTGTAGTGCTATTTTGAAATCTTGCTTTAAGGGTTCTTCATATTTGCAATGGTACCTTTCAGTACATACAGTTTCTTAGAGAGAAATTCAGGTCAGTTGCTGCTCTCACAGATATTTCAGACCGTGTGTCATTTGGATTTTGTGTTGTAAACACATCTAAAAACATACGATCAAAAATTATCAGCAGCTTGCTAAGTCACTTCTTGTTCCTTTTACATTCTTCCTCACCAGATTTTTTTTTTCTTAAAACGTATGCACTAACTAATTCCAAGAAAAGAATAATAAAGTATTTGAGACATTCTTCAGCTACAAAATAACAAGTGGGGCAAGGGTCAAAAATAAAATTCATGGGGAAAAAAGCCAAACTAGTATCCTTATGCTAACTGACTCTTTCTGAAAAGAAATTATTAAGGAAATTATAAAAAAACATATATAGATGTATAATAGGTCCCAAAGGATTTGTAGATGTGTAATATTATCACTGTTTGTATTAACATTGTCAAATTTTAGCCAAGTAAGAAGCATTCACTTGCCCTTGAACCTTCTGTTAGACTGTAATAGTTCAGCTTAAAAAGCACATACTTCAATAACAATCAAGATCTCCCCAATACATTCACATTTACATATGCACATAAAGAATCCTGCTCTTAAGAGGTGTCAGTGAGGCTGGTTGTAATTCAAAAATAATGGACATACCCACCCAACCAGAGTCAAAGTAAATTGGATCAAGATGCCAGACTGAACATTCATATGCATGTCTCCCCTTTCTAAAATCTCGTGAAATGACAGAAAATTTTACACACATGAATGTATATGTGTGTTTAGTATATAAATAAATATATTCATTTCCCCAACACACACACACACACACACACACACACACACACTGCCATTAATTTTGAAGAATTTCTGGGCTAGATCTATGGAGAAATAAAAGGAAATCACAGCTCAATATTCATGTTATGAGTTACGAAAGTATAAAAATTAAAACACTATGGTATTTTTGTAGGGAAAGACAGATCAAAGAAACAATAAAAAGGTAGCAACTGACCAATTTCAAATGGAATTTAGATTATATTAAATGTGAGTTTCATATCAGTAGGGAACTAGTGTTAGACAACTGGCAATCCTCCTTGAAAAATGTAAAATTTTATGCATATTTTATGCCATATACAAAAATAATTGGATTTAAGACCTAAGAGTTGAGCTTCCCTGGTGGCGCAGTAGTTGAGAGTCCGCCTGCCGATGCAGGGTACATGGGTTCATGCCCTGGTCCGGGAAGATCCCACATGCCGCAGAGCGGCTGGGCCCATGAGCCATGGCCGCTGAGCCTGCACGTCCGGACCCTGTGCTCCGCAACGGGAGAGGCCACAACAGTGAGAGGCCCGCGTACCTCAAAAAAAAAAAAAAGACCTAAGAGTTTTAACCAAAATATAAAATTATCCAAAAATTGGGAAATAATTTAATATCTTGGATTGGATAAGGCCTACCTAAATAAGATACAAAATGAAGAAGAAATTAATCAAGAATTGATCTCATAAAATTTTCTCTGTGATTAAGATACCTAAATAAGTTTAAAGACAAGCAACAGCTTGGGAGAAAATACTTGTTACTTTTACCATAGAGAAAAGATTAATATACTAAATATAAAAAGAGCCCCTACAAACAAATGAAAATACAACCTAATAGAAAAATGGGCCAAGGATATGAACAGGTAAATCACAGAAGTAGAAATAAAAATGCCCAATAAATACAGAGAAAAATTTCTCAGGTTCAAAAGTAATCAGAGTGCAAAATAAAACAGTAATGAAAAACTCTCACTTATTCACAAAATACGATTAACAATATTCATTGTATGTGATGTGATATTGTGGCGCATTCTTGGGGGATGTAAATTGGTAGATAAGTTTTGGAGTACAATTTGTGGTATCTATCAATATTTTAAAAGATTTATCCTTGATTCAAAAATTCCAGTATTAGGTATCTATCCAAAGAGAGATACATCCAAGTGTACATGAGAAGAATGTACGAGGGAAAAAACTGCACATAATCTAATTCTTTAATAAGATAGTGGATAAATTATGGAACATATTTTATGGAATAGTATATATCCATTAAAAATAATGAGGTAGATGTGAAAAGAGCTCTGGAGTTGTTAAATGAAAAAAGCAAGTCATAATATAATCCTTTAGTGTAAATATATGTGTGTGTGTGTAAGAAAGATTTTTTTCTTTAATCAAAATAATCATCAGGCTCTTGACTTATTTACCCTCTGGTAATTCAAAATAGAGGTACATCCTGAAAAGGAAATAACTGCATCATTTTGCATACAGTAGAGGCAGCCTGTGGTGAACAGACTGGACACCACTCCTGACTCTGCTTCTTCGTAGCTATGAAACCTGGCAATTGACCTCTCTGAGCATCAGGGATTTTTTTAACCTACAAAAGAGGACAGTGATTCACCAAAGAACATACGGAAATACAACTTACATATTATAATTTTCAAAGTACTTGAGTGTATGTGTATATCTTAATTGTATTTCTATTTTTTTCTTTGATTAATATTATTAAAGATTCCAGGATAATTAGATTTAATCTCAATTATATTTAATTTTTAACAAGAGTTTCTTATGAATTTTTCACATTTTACAATGGTGGACCTTGTAAGGACATGGAAAGAAAGCCCCATACGATGAACGGTGAATAAATTGAAGTTCAGCGGACCTTCCAAACATCTCAAAGTCATCTTGGTATGGGTTGAATTTTGTTTGCCCCAAAAAGCTATGTTGAAGTCTTAACTTTCAGTACCTCAGAATGTGACCTAATTTGGAATTTAAGTCATTGAAGATTTAATTAGTTAAGACAAAGTCACATGCGAGTAGGTGGGCTCCTAATCCAAAACGGTGTCATTATTGAGAAGAGGGAAATTTGGACATGGAAACACAACTTGTGAAGACAGATGCAGCGATTGGAGTTCTGCTGCTACAAGCCAAGGAACTCCTGGGGCTACCAGAAGCTGGAAGATGCAAGGGAAGATAGTCTCCTAGAGGCTTTGGAGAGAGGCTGGCATGGCCAAAGCTTTGATTTTGCATTTCTGGCTTCTGTGAGAACTGTGAGAGAACAAATTTCTTTTGCTTTGAGCCCCAGTTTGTGGTATTTTGTTTCAAGAAGCCCTAGAAAGCTGACACACACCTCCAAATAAATTTTGGTTAACTCACCATAAAATTAGGTCAATTGTTACTAATGTGAACAAATAACCATACTGCTAATAATAAACCCTATGTTAATTATAGACAATTACCAAGAGAATCTTATTAAACTTCATAACACCTCATGGAAAAAGTTGTAGGAGATAAGGATTTCATCTCATACGCTGAAACGTCTATACGGTAAGTTAAAATTTAAGTAGGAAATAAAATGATTATAGGAGTTTTAGAGTTAAAATAAATCCAACCAATCTAATCAAAAATAAATCAAACCAGTCCAATCAGCTTTTGTATATGTATTGCTATTAACTTGAAAAGCTTACATTGTTTTATACCTTTATAATAATTGTCAGTTTTCTCATTAGCAGGAACATTCTCCTTATTTTCTTCTTCCACTTTATGTGGTTGTTCAGCCACAGGCTGCTCAGGTAAGGGCGTCATCTCAGGCCCTGAAAAAAAGTATGACCAGAGATCAGAAATATGTTGATTTCTTTGACCACTTTCTTTTTCTAACTGCATTTTTTCACAAAGGATTTGAGTCAGAGATTTAAAATCTAAGTTATACCATATTTCCAACAATCAACTTTATATTATCCTATAGGAAATTGCCGCGGATTGTTGGAGAGGGTGTGGAGAAGAGGGAACCCTCCTACACTGTTGGTGGGAATGTAAATTGGTGAAACTGCTATGGAGAACAGTATGGACGTTCCTCAAAAAACTAAAAATAGAGTTGCCATATGATCCAGCAATCCCACTCCTGGGCATATACCCAGAGAAAACTATAATTCAAAAAGATGAATGCACCCCTATGTTCACAGCAGCACTATTTACAATAGCCAAGACATGTAAACAACCTAAATGTCCACTGACATATGAATGGATAAAGAAGATGTGGTATATATGTATACAATAGAATATTACTCAGCTATAAAAAAGCATGAAATAATGCCATTTGCAGCAACATGGATGGACCTAGAGATTATCATACTAAGTGAAGTAAGTCAGACAGAGAAAGACAAGTACCAGATGATATCACTGACATGTGGAATCTAAAATATGCCACAAATTAACATATCTATGAAATAGAAACAGACTCACAGACATAGAGAACAGACTGTGGTTGCCAAGCGGGTGGAGAGGAAAGGATTGGGAGTTTGGGATTAGCAGATGCAAACTAGTGTATATAGGATGGATAAACAACAAGGTCCTACTGTATAGCACAGGGAACTATATTTAATATCCTATGATAAACCATAATGGAAAAGAATATGAAAAAGAATATATATGTGTATAACTGAGTCACTTTGCTGTACAGCAGAAATTAACACCACATTGTAAATCAACTATACTTCAATAAATTTAAAAAAAAAATTGCTACGGACTAATTTTCTAGGATAATGGATCATGTTTCTTATCTGCTATTTTGATGAAAGTTTTATATGCTCACCTTCATCGGTGGGATCCGTACCACTAATCTCTGGGTGAAAAGCCCCGAATAAAATAATAAACAATATAAAATTCATTGGGAAAATGACGTGATTTATCCAGTGATCTACTGTGTCTCAGAGTTTCCTTTCTGTTGCCCAGCAGGTCCTATAACTAGCAGGGACATTATGATGTCACTGCCAAATGGAGATCAGAATGCTGGGGAGGAATTTCCAAAAGCTTTGTGATTCAGTCTGATGTCTTTATCTTTGGTCCTACAAAAGTTTTTAGGTGTTTTTTTTTTTTTTTAATAAACCACTATAAGATTTTCTTTGAAAATTAAGAGTTATGTTTTCATGAGGTAATGTAAATTTTTGGTTCCTGGATTTTAAAGAACAATTAATATTGCTGATAGAAAGATGAGAACAGACCTTTTTGGTTTTCAAAGCATTTACAATACCGTATGCTCTTTTGGATAACCACAAAGTATCTCCTAAAAAACTAATCACATACCAAAATGCAATCCAAATGCCCTGCAAATTCTGGTTCATGGTCTATCTTAACTGTAATTCTTTTTTTTTTTTTTTTGCGGTACGCGGGCCTCTCACTGTTGTGGCCTCTCCCATTGCGGAGCACAGGCTCCGGACGCGCAGGCTCAGCGGCCATGGCTCACGGGCCCAGCCGCTCCGCAGCATGTGGGATCCTCCCGGACCAGGGCGCAAACCCGTGTCCCCTGCATCGGCAGGCGGACTCTCAACCACTGCGCCACCAGGGAAGCCCTTAACTGTAATTCTTTAGGGGAAAGTTTTTTGAAACATCCTTTTGGGGGGGTTTAAGACCTATATTCTTTATAGAATATAAAATATTTGTTTTGCTAAAAACATTTTATCAGTGAAACCCATCTTTTACCTCACATCATACAGATTGAGAAAATTATCTAACAGTCAGAAGAGGACTTAGGCCTGGATAATATTATCCATACATTTTTCATATAATAACTCATATAATAAGCAATAAAGGCAAGAAATCAAATGGACAATACCACCAATATTGCTCTTCATATTAAAGGATCACCTAACATCCCCTTCCTTCCTCAATTGTAATTATTATTGATGGAGTCTCTCAGCTCTAGACAATATTCATAATTAAAATGACACAAGCATCAGGAGAAAAAGCGCACAAGTTTAAAAAGACTTGAACGTTTTTTCAGTATAATGAAGGCTCACAAATGAAGTCCAGCCAGTGTGGCACTGACTGGGCATACCTGAGGTACTAAAGAGGAAACTCGGCAGGAGTCTAATTGCTTAAGAGGGTGAGAGGAAGCAGAGTGGACTTGTCCTAAAGGAAAAGATGGTTAGGATCACAGCCTCAGTCCTCAGTCAACCAAAGGGAGGTGGTCCTGTGTGTAGTACTGTTTTTCTTTTAGGTCCTCCTGCCCATTCTTCCGTGGGTGCTGGGAAGTGGAGAAGAGATGTGAGTAAAGAGCTAGCAGGCTTCTGGAGTCCGTTACTTTGGCATCTCCCTAACAGGGTGCAACATAGAAAAGGGGAGGTACTTGGAGCAAGCATGCCCCTGGTTGCCCTGAACCACTGCACAGCTTTGGCTGATGGAGCTCAGCCATGATGAAACTCAGCAAAAGTCAGAAGTTCCAGGTTGGGGAGGAGGTGGCATCCAGTGGAATTACCAGTTGTTCTCTCTGCAGAATCCTCTTATATTCCTAGAATAGTTATGCTTATTTTCAGATGGGACAAACCCTCTCTACGTGTAATGGAACTGGTAGAGTGAATTGGTAGATTTTTTTTTAAACATTCGATTTTATGAAACTAAGTTTGTTGAAAAATTGATTCTAATTTTCCTTTGTCCCATGACCAGTACTCTTTCTAGAGTATATCACTAGTGTTATGGGTTGAACTGTGGCTCCCCACCCCCAAGTTCATATGTTGAAGTCCTAACCCTCCAGTACCTCAGAACATGACCCTGTGTGAGATGGGGTCACTGCAGATGTAATTAGTTAAGATGAAGTCATACTAAAGTAGGGTGGGCCCCTAATACAACATGACTGCTATTCTTATAAAAAGGGGAAAGTTGAACACAGACAGACAGTCAGACAGACAGACAGACAGACACACACACACACACACACACACACACACACACACACACACACACAGGGAGAATGCCATGTGAAGATGAAGCAGAGATGGGGATGATGCAGCAAAAATGGAGGAACACTGAAGACTGCCAAGAAACTACCAAAAGCTAGAAGAGAGTCACAGGACAGATTTTCCCTTACAGCCCTCAGAAGGAACCAACCCTACTAACACCTTGGTCTCAGATGTCTAGACTCCAGAACTGTGAGTCAGCAAATTTCTGTTGTTTAAGCCACTCAGTTTGTGGTACTTCTTTATGGCAGCCCTAGCAAACAAACACTAGATAAACTCTTTGGTTTCTTGGGAAGAGATTATGGAAACTAAAATTGAATGTCTCCTCACTGTATATCATCAGTTTAGGCTGTAGTTATCATTTCCATGAATGTAAATATTCTATTACTCAATAGAGTAAAAACTTATCTTTAAAAAAAGTGTATGTTTACTTTCTATATATTAAACTATATTTTATGCCTTTGAAGAATGCCCTAAGAAGGATCCATTGCTAATACTAAGGATGTCATTAGATATACTTTCTAATCTATGATTTTATTTTATTTCCTGTTTCTTGACCATGTCTGGATCATAAGCCCCTTCCATTTCGGTGTCTTCTCCAACAAGAGCACTGGGCCAGGAGCAAGAAGGAATATATTTGGGTCTTAGCTCCATCACTTACTACCTATGTGATCATGAGCAAATCATCTCTCTAACCCTGAATTTCCTCATCTGGAAAATAAGTAAATTAGATATCATACCAAGTAGATATTCGAGGCATTTACTGGGTTGAATTTATTTCCTGAATTTATTTACTTCATAAAGAATTTATTTACTTTCTATACAGATAATTGTTTTTCATGCCTAAAAGGATTAGCGCTGGTGAGATTTTCATATACACAGCTTTTTAAAAGGCATGACACACCAGTACCCTACTAGGAAAGTAAATACAAGTAGAAAAAGTGATGTAATAGAAGACACACAAACATTAAGAAATGAGACCATGTTGTAAAATGACCCCAAACGTATTTTAAAGACTGTCAGTTGAGTCACCCTAATCTTCGAGAGACTCCATTAAACGCAGGTAGTTCCACAAAACATACATTAGTTGTTGCAATCCATGAACATAAGCCTCCAACCTTGCTTAAAATATTAATTTGAATATTACTTTCCTTAAATCTAAATAGTAAGTTTACACACAACATAAAATAAAATAAATGATTGGTTATATCATTGTAATTTTGTAAAACCAAGAACAATGAACTCTGCTTCATCAGAATGGTTAGGGAACTGAGGTTCTTTTTAACAGACTCTCAAACTAAACAGAAGTTACCATTTCATTCAGGATTGCTAATTTTCAAAGAACTAGAATCTTTCAATAAAATATAAGAAAGTTCTTTTGAACAGAATGTAATCTCTTTTCTCTCTTTGTGGGACTGTCAAGAATTTATAGTGCCCTCTGGGTTAAGTGAGAACCCTGATTATCAATGTGTACTTTTGTGTATCATTTTGAGTATCTGAGCTTCTTTTCCCCAGGTCCAGATCCTTTTTATTTATATTATTATTTTTATTTATGTAAAGCTTTTTTTTAGCTTCTAGATAAATAGAAATATTGAAGTAATGGTATTTTACTAACATGGTGACTCATGTAGTAAAAGAGAAATATCTGCTGATATTAAAACGTTGGGTTTAAAACCAGATCCTTCATTCACAACTTAATAGAAGAGGCAAGGGAAGACTGCATGGAATCTGGCCAGGCTGAAGTTGTTTAATTAGGTTGCTATTTAAAAACTGCCACTTAACCTAAGTCTTAAGGAGGTTGCTAATTAATAGCTATCCAAAGATTCAGGATAACAGGGTGGATGCATTAGGACA